GGGCGGAGCTGGGGCTTTCTGAGAGATACCAAGTGGTGAGAGGAGCAGTTGAAAGAGTAGCGAACACTCCTGCCAGTGCCTTCTTGCTAACAGGCGTCTTCTCCAGTTAATCAAGGGAAAGATCATTTCAATACTAATGGCCGCTGGGGAACACAGCAAGCTCCCACAGTCAGCTCTGTACTTACCGATACAATTAGATACTCATCCGTAGCGCAGGACTGAAAATAGAAAATCCCAGGAAAAGTAAAGCAGCCTGCATATAGAATTGTTACGGGAAATAGCGGGGCCCCCCCCAGCGGCACTAGCCCTGCGCGTGAGGGAAGCTGCTCACCAGTGGCAGCGGCGGCAGGGTAACTAACACAGCTGTTACGGACATCGTAGCATTTTCTGCCCAAGTAACAGACTTGCCCTTCACTAATTTCAGCTTTCCCACTTCTTCCTGGGGAATTAAAATATTAGGTTCTATATATAGAAGTGCATGGTTTTAAATTAATTTTTTCCTTTACTACAGCTGTTCTTAGTGGTTGATTACTGTTTGTTGGACCAGGCAATCCTTTGCCAGCTGGCTGCAGCTTTTATTCGCTCTTTTAAGAAGCCTTGATTTAGAACTCACAGTTACGTTACAAGGACAGCAGCTCTGTAATGCAGACCCTCAAGAGAAGAGATAATTAGAGCTCATGAAAAAATTGTGTCCGATTCTTTGAACAAAAAAGCTCTTGTTTAAGGAATGTGGTGCTGCAGGCTAATACTGAACAGCAGTCTCTTCTCTCGCTCAGAGCTGGTGCCTGCTGTCAGACCCTGCCCTCCATCAGATATACTGGATATTATTTTATGGGAGCATCTCTCAAAATGGAGGAAGGCTGCCCTGTAGCAAGTACAGAATGTGTCTGGCGGATTGTATTTCTGCAAGGAGGGCAGGAGGTACTCGTGGAAGGATGTGGTGAAGCAGGAAAAGGGCTGAAGAGGTGCTGAGAAAGCTGTTGTACAGGGGAGGGGGAGGAGAGAAACAAACATTGCAGAGAGCAGGAAAAACGATGTGCTGGGAAATGATTAATCCACCCCAACGGCCCTTGCTAAGAAGTGGTGGGACAAGCTCAGTGATTTTTGGCAGTCGTGAGCTACTTCTGCTCTGCTGGCAACTCTCGTCTTGCAGCCAGATGTGTTTAAGTATGGCTCCATCCCATTGCTGCCCCAGACACCGCGTCCCCGCCAGTGTCCGCGCTCCGTTCCTGGCAGCTCTCCGGCAAGCCGCCCCCGCAGCTGTGTGTGTTTTATGGCTTTCCCATGTCCCTCCACTTACTGGAGTAAGTGTTTCTCAAGTGAATGGGAGCACACAATCCAGGCCGGGGGACATGGGGCCAGAGTCAAGTTTAGGAACTGCTGTTCTGTATCCTGTTGTTTTCCTACCGGGATTGTTCCAGTTTCCTGCACTGTCTTATCTGGAGCTGAAAAGCCAAACCTCTTCTGTTTACTTGCTTTGTGCGTGCCTCGGGGTTCTAATCTGTGAACTAGATGTTGTAAGATGTTGTAAGACGTAAGAGAAACATAGCTAGGACTATTACAGGGTGGAGGCACAGGAACAAAGTGGTTAAAGGTTAAACACTGAAAGCAGTGCCTATACAATTAGTTTCTTTATTTGGTTATGCTGCTTGCATAAGCCTGTGTATGTCACAGAGGGTTTCAGAGAACCTTCGGCATACTGTAGTGCTGCACAGAGTCCACTGCAATGTAAAGAGAGTCAGATTCAGATGTTTACACTCTCAGGTGGCTCCAGGTACCGGGGTTCGACAGGCCTACAGGAGAATCACTTTCAGAAAGTGCTGAGTATGTGTTTTTCCCCCCAAGACACAGAAAAGTCTTAAAAGGGAATAGGCATTTCAATGGTTTTAGTCAACCTTGAGTTTTAAGAGCTCCACTGAAATGCTGTAGACTTCTTTGAAATTACTTCGCCACATTTTCTTGAATGGAGAGGCAAAATAAGCATACACTGTGCTGATATCTTGAAAGCTGACTATGTAGATCAGACTCATGAAAAAGCAAAAATCTTTCAATTTCTTTTACTTTTTCATCTAATGAGCATGAATTCACTTAACGGTAGATTACATTAATGCACTGAATTCCCTATGGGTTAAAAAAAATTAAAAGAAAACATTTACTGTACAGCTTTGGAATGTCCTGTTTTTCTGCACAAAGGTGTGGGTCCTGCATACACAGTGTCCATTATCAGATGGGAGCCTCTCCTGGAAAGATAATTAAAACTCTGCATCACTTGCAGCCATGCAGATACTGAACCAGACACAAGGTTTGAAACCAAAACTCAACCCCTAAGCCCCAGCCCCAGCCCACTCCCACACAGGGATACTGGTTTTGTTGGTAGGTACAAATTGTGGCAATGATCAAGATGGATTTTTATTAATCGAAGGGATGAGGAGTATCTCAGTTCAGCCTTTGTGGGTAAATACATATTTCATTTTTTTCTGCTCAGTCGTAACTGTAAATTCAGACTCATTCCACTTGACAGTTTCTCTGGAGGTACTCTCAGCTGATGTAAATATGAGAGCAGGAGTGGGCTGAAGAAGTACCCTTAGCTGATTACCAGAGCCTTTATTTGGAACTAAATATGAAGAGAAAAAAGGCGTTTTTTCAAAGAGATCAGGAAAAGGAAGACATGTGCTTGGAGATAAGGAAAGATAAAAGCATTCCATTTAAAGACGCTGGTGATAAAAATCACGATGTTCATCTGCCAAGTCAGTAATTGCATGGCCTTATGACCATGCAGAGCTTCCGTTTCTGTTACCTTTTCCCACACTGACTGTGAGCACCAGTTTATTGGCATGAAACTTCCTTCTAGTTTGTCCAAGCAGCTCAGCCCTTTGGGAAGGAATTGCACAGGTTGAACTCAAAGATAAAACTCTTTGACTTCAAAAAACGGTTCTCCCATAAGTATATGTTCAGCTTTCTGAGGCACAGCGAGGCCCAGGAGCAGGCTGTGGATTCCCTGTCCACGGACGGTTTGCGGCCGGGTTAGATGAATACCTCTCAGGAGGAGTTTGGGTAGAGCTCGTTTTCCTGTGAGGAATGAGGGCAGCTGAAATGGGCATCTGAGGTGACTTCCAGCCCCGTTTTCTGTGATTCATTAGCCGTGAGGTCATGGTGACAGCAGATCCTGCACAACGCCTGGATTAACAGAGGTCAAGAGCTCAAAATGCATTTGCTGCTTTAAAACAGGGGGGTTTGATCTGTTGTTCGTTTAAAGCAAGCAGTGGATTTCAGTGAGAAAATTCTTTGAAAATCCTAGCTCTGCATGTTTCACAAGCTAGCATATGCAAACAACAAAGCATTCTAGGCTAAAATTACCTGTCCTATCATTAGAAAGCCGTAAGCAGGAACATATGGATTGATACTAGCAGAAGTGCAGACGGGCCTTCCCGAGCTGTGCTGCCGTGCAGCAGTTTCACCCCCAAACGGGAGCGGTTCCGATGCCTGCTGTTCGTTCCCCGTCGGGAAGCACAGCTGATGTGCTGCCAGAGGTTTGACCTGTGCTTTTCTCTTTGAAAAGGTCATTTCGCTCCCTGACCTATCTCCTGAGGTCAGAGAGGGCCCTTCCTGTATGCTTCGCTTTTGTTTGTGTCCTTTCCTCTTCGGGCTGTGCTTTGCCTACCTACCAGACACTCCTTAGCTGTCCTACGGGTGTTTGTCACCGCAGGCCTTACCCCGGCCTCGCTGGGGCAGCGGGCAGGCTCCCTCGTGCTGGGCATTGTGGGAGCCCACACCACTTCCGTGGCTTTTTTTGTTTTTTCTCCCCTTCCTGCTTGGAACAATTAAACTTTTGCCCAGAGATTTTGCACGCTTACTCGCTTGGGCTTCGCATCCTGCAAAGCACATATAGCTTAGGCATCAGCAGATCGAAGCATTCACTGAAAATTAAGCGGGTGTGTAAGTGCCTGGCCAGCCTCGGAGCCCGGCAGCCTGTGACTCTGCCGCCGCACGGTTTCTGCGAGCGTGGAATTGCAGGGCAGGGCAGACGTGGACGCGTTCCCAGAGGGCTGCTCCGCGGCACAGGAGCATGGCCGAGAGGCGTTTCCCGACGTCTCTGCAGTACGGCAGGTGGCTCCCCCCTCCGCCCCGACACGCTTTCCCTC